TGGATCTACCTATTCTGGAGATATAAATTCATATAAGTGAAATGATACAGTATGTGATCTTTTGTGTCTGGTTTCTTTCACTTAGCATGTTTTCAAGGTTCATCCATGTTACACCATGTATCAATACTTCATTCCTTTTTATCACTGAATAATATTTGATTGTATGGATTTACCATATTTTGCTTATCCATTCACCAACTGATGAACATTTGGATTGTTTCCATCTTTCAGCTATTCTGAATAGTGCTGATGTAAACATTTTACGCAACCTGTTTGCAATTCTTTGGGGCATATAGCTTGGAGTGGAAATGCTGGGTCAAATGGTAATTCTACATTTAACTTATTGAGGAACTGCAAAATGGATTTCCCCAAGGGTATAAGGGTTCTAATTTCTCCACATATTTGCCAACAGTTGTTATTTTCCATTAAAAAACTATTTTTATTATAGCCATTCTAGTGGGTGTGATGTTTTATTACAGTTTTAGTTTACATTTCTTTAACGACTAGTGATATTAAGCATTTTTTTGTGTGTTCTTGCTGGCTGTTTTGTATGCAGTTATTTCTTTGAAGAAATGTTTATTTGAGTCCTTTGCCCATTTTAAAATTGGGTTGTTAGTCTTTCTGTTATTGAGGCATAAGACATCTTAATATATTCTGGACACTAGGCCATTATCTGGACTCTAGGCCAATATTATCTGGACACTAGGCCAATATGATTTGCAAATATTTTCTCTCATTCTTCTGGGTTGTCCTGTCACTCTTCCAGTAGTGTCCTTTGGTGCACAACGTTTTTACATTTTGATAAATTCCAATTTCTTTTTTCTTTTTTGAGACAGGGTCTCACTCTGTCATCTAGGCTGGAGTGCAGTGGTACAATCATGTGCTCACTGCAGCCTGAAACTCCCAGGCTCAAGCTATCCTTCCATCTCAGGCTCCCAAGTAGCTGGGACTACAGGTGCCTTTCACCACGCCCAGCTATTTTTTGGGGGACTTTTTTTTTTTTGTAGAGAAGGAGTCTATGTTGCCCAGTCTGGTCTTGACCTTCAGAGCTCAAATGATCCTCCTGCCTTGCCTCCCAAAGTGCTGGGATTACAGGTGTGAGCCACTGAGACTGGCCCAATTTATTTTTCCATTTGTTGCTTCTGCTTTTGGTGTCATACCTAAGAAACAATTTTTCAGATGCAATGTAATGAAAATTAACCCCTATGCTTTCTTCTAAGACTTTTAGCTTTTACATTTAGATCTTTATCGACTTTAATTTTTGTGTACAGTGGGAGGTAGAGGTCCAACTTCATTCTTTTACTTGTGGTTATCCAGTTGTTCCAGCACCATTTATTGAAAAGGCTATTCTTTCCCCATTAAATGGTCTTGGCCTCCTTGTTGAAAAGCAATTGACCATTTCTGTATGGTTTCACTTCTGCATTTTCAATCCTATCCATTGGTCTATGTCTACCCTTACAGTGGTACCACACTGTTTTAATTACTGAAGCTTTGTATTAAGTTTTAAAATTAAGAAGAGTGAGTCCTCCAACTTTGTTCTTTTTTCAAAACTGTTTTGGCTATTCTGGATCCCTTAAAATTTCATATGAACTTTAGGATCAACTTTTCCATTTCTGCAGAAAGACCACTGGAATTTTGACAGGGATAGCACTGAATTTGTAGACTGCTTTGAGAAGTAGTGCCATCTTAACAATATTAAGTCTCCTAACCCATGAACACAGTATGTAGTTTCATTTATTTGGAGCTTATACAATTTCTTTCAGCAATGATTTGTAATTTTCAGTGTGCAAGTCTTGTGCCTTCTTGGTTAAATTTATTCCTAAATATGTTATTCTTTTTGATGCTGTTGCAAATGGAACTATTTTCTTATTTTCAAATCGTTGTTTGTTATAGAAATGTAGGGTTTACTATATACAAGATCACATAATCTATGAATAGAGATAGTTTTACTTCTTTTCCCATTTGAATGATTTTTATTTCTTTTTCTTGTCTAATTGCTGTAAATAGACCTTCCAATACAATGCTGAAGAGAAGTGGCATCCTTGTCTTATCACTGACCTTAAGGGAAAAGTTTTCAGTTTTCTGATGTTTGCTGTGGGAATGTCATAACTGCATCCTTTGCTGTGAATGTAGGCTTTGAGATTGCTGAAGAGCCAGGGAGGAAAGCAGGGTGAGGGGCAAGTAAAAACTTTGTAAAATTTTCCTAATTTTGCCCTTTTATGAATTGACTTCATTTTTAGAGGAATTTTAGGTCCATAGCAAAATTAAACAGAAGGGACAGAGATTTCCCATTGATGTCACCTCTGTCCTTTTATTTTTATTTAACTGTCCCATAGATTTTATTCACATGATAAATAACAGTCACATGGAGCAGAGAGGGATGCAAAGGGAGGGCTCCAGATCAAGGGATGGATCTGAAACTGGCCCACTTGTCCCACAGAACTGATGTTTATCGTTTTTTTGATTAAACAGAAATTGATCTTTCCAGGCCAGGTGCGGTGGCTCATGCTTATAATCCCAGCACTTTGGGAAGCTGAGGTGGGAGAATCACCTGAGCCTAGGAATTTAAGATCAGCCTGGGCAACAAGGTAAAACCCCATCTCTACAAAAAATAAAAAATTTGCCAGGTGTGGTGGCATTCACCTGTAGTCCCAGCTACCTGGGGGTGAGAACTCACTTGAGCCCAGGAGGTTGATCACTGCTATAGTGAGATAGTTAGTGGTGATCATGCCACTGTACTCCAGCCTGGGTGACAGAGCAAGACTCTGTCTTAAAAAAAAAAAAAAAAAAAGAAAAGAAAGAAAGAAAGAAAAGGAAAAGGAGATAAAAGAAATGGATTCCTCCTTCAGGCCTCCCAGATAGTATCAAGGAGCTGCAACTTACCAGATCATTGCATCTGGACAATGAGAACCCAGACTCCTCATTAGTCATGATTGCCTAACCAATCACCTATTCCAACTCCTCTTCCTAATTTCTGTTTTCCCACACACAGTTACAATTCTTCCCTGCTATACAAACCCTGATTTTGGCCAGTCAGGGAGATGGATGTGAGACTGATCTCCCATCTTCTTGGCTGCAGTACTCAATTAAAGCCTTCTTCCCTTGCAATACTCATTGTCTCAGTGATTGGCTTTCTGATTGGCAAGCAGCAGGACCTAGATCCAACCCCTGGTGTTTCAGTAACAGATTCTGCGCAGTATTAACATGGCAGCCTCCAAGACAAGAGAAGGCAATTGATCCTTTCTGTGAAAGCCAGGACAGAATATCAAGAAATGTCTATCTCCTGGCTCACAATGGCCTTGGGGCCATGTTCTCTATCTCTTGAGTACTGAAGAACAGAGAAGTCTCAGAAGGCTGATGCTGGGAAGGTGAAAAGAAATAAGAGGATGGAAGGAGGTGTTGGAGAAAATAAAAACAAAATCTCTGGCTAACCCAGAAAATCCCATTCGCAAATGTAGAAAAGAAAGAGAACAGTTTTAATATCAAATAATATTAAACCAGACTGTGAAGCACATAATAGACAATCTGCTAATCAGATGCCAAAGACAGAAAGAGATCTCACTTTTTATCTAGTTGAGAAGATACAATCTATTACAAACATGTCCTCAAAATTAAGGGTAATTTGCCCTCGTGTAAGAGGATTTGAAATTGTTTGCTGTACAATTTTTCATAGTTCATTCTAAATGCACCTGGTAATTGGGGTAGCCACCTATACCAGTTAATTGCCTTTCTCAAAAAGAAAAAATACAACTTTTATCTATGACAAGCCGGCGGTTACCAGTTTGAAGGTAAGCACCTAAGCTAAAGTTACAAGGTGACAGGGAGGTAAGGGCACTATCTTCTTCCTTGCTTACATTTCAAAGAGATGGCTCACCAGGCTTTTGGGGGAAACATTCCTATTTTGTAAAGTTGGCAGATGCTTATTCACCCTTTCAAAAGTATCGGGTACATATCACAAGGGCACTTACACAGATTTCTCATGGAAATATTCCAAAAGTGGGAGGTCAGGTTTATTTCCCTTTCAGCAACAAGCAAAATTTAATTCGATTTGTATTTGCCATTACTATTTAAATGCTCCTCCCATCTGATCTGCAAAACCCCAATTGCTGCATTGCAGAAGGTACCAGCATAGCCCAGTTTTAAATATATATATAACTCCCGGGCTCAAGCCATTCTCTAGCCTCAGCCTTTCTCGGGGTTACAGAGATTACAGGCATGCGCCTCCACAACCGGCTCTAGTAGTCCAGATCTGAACCAGGATCTTAGATAAGAGGCCATCGAGCCAGACTCCAGCCTGAGTGATGCTTCCATCCTCCTGGAACTTGATGAGTCTGTCACTAATTAAGAGGACTTCGACAAGAGAAGGTGACTACAGGGCACCCATAGGAGTGTACTGGTGTTGAGAGTAAGAGCTCAACTGAGATGCTGGGAGGTAGCTTTGCCTTGCCTGTGTCCCACAGGCGTCACGAAGTCGAATTTACATGGTTCTCGAAAGGTACTGAGGAACTATGTTAAAGAAACTTTTCTCCCCTGGTCGCTAGGGGAGGGGTTTCAAGTGCAGAATTTCCCTCTTCCCGCCTCAGGCGGGGGCTCTTGGAGCACTTTTCTCCAAGCCTTCATCCCGAGACCAGAGGGGATTCAAATGCAGGAATTTTCCGGCTCCCCCGCCTCAGGCAGTTAGGGATCTTTGAGCACCTCCACCAGGTGGGCCAGGTAAATTCTTTGTCCTATCTTCCCGCTTCGCGAAAACCGGTTGGGACTATTTCGTCCCAAATTCCCGCGGAAAGCTCTGGGAGGAAGGGGTTCTGTAACGCAGGGTTGTAGAACAAGTCGCCAATTTGCTATCAGAGTCAAAGATCAATCACTCCAGAGGAAGTTTAAAAGATCTCCTCTCTCTCAGAATCCAGGCTCCAAAACATAAAAAAGAACTCCTCTCACTGGAGGAAAACATTAATGGGGAGGGAATAACTCAAGGGTTAAAACTTCAGCTGTGCTCCTACCTGAACGATTTTCCTTTCTGGGTTCCCCTCCCACCACAGTGTGGGAGCTGTCTTCTCTCTCTCTGTGTGTCTAATAAACCGCTCTTCCACAAAAATTCTTTGGGTCCACGATTTTATTCGGACGGTAAACTCACTGCGCTTCCGGGGCCCCTTTCCCCATTCTTGGGGGTAGGGTGGCCAAGAATCTACAAGCTGGGTACTCCCCCGGTAACAGTAGTTAGCATGCCAAGGAGCCTCAGCCCAAGGAACTCGGCTGGTTCGGTGCAGGAAACTGTATCCAATGCACGCCTAACAGCCCACGAACCGCTCCCGCTAGATTCGCAAATCAGAAATGGCTTCTCTCGTGGACCCCAGCTTCCGGAAGCGCCTGCGGAAGCTCCCGCAGAGGCTTATGGGGAGTGTAGTCTTTTTTTTTTTTTTTTTGAAGGGCGGGCTGAGGGGACAGAGACTTCACTCGGGAGCCAGAACCAGTTTTCAGCATGGGATTTTAAGAGAAGAGAGAGGCTGTCACTGCAGTAGTCACTGTCCTGGTAAATTAACCGTTGCACGGCCCAGAGGCGGCTCCGTGGCGACCAATGGGGGCCGAAGCCTGCGAGGATGCTGGAACTGTAGCTCTGGCATAGGTCAGCGCATGAGGTCTGAGGGAACTCGCCTGCTGGCTCTGGTGAGCTCGGCCTCCACCGCTTCTTGGCCCCAGGATGCCCCCTCTCGTGGGGAAAAGAGGGTCTGGAAAGGCCGGGCCTAGGTTAGGACGCGGGGTAGAGTGTGGCCGATGGAGAGTGCAGGCTGGGTTATTTGGTTTTTGGAGGAGGGGGCGCGGCTTGCGTTGCCCACTGGGGCCAGGCGATGGGGTGAGCACCAGCTCGCTGGTAACCTTGGGGCCGCCGGGACTTCCGCGGACCTTTCTTCCTCCGCTAGGACGAGGGTGACCTGGAACTCTGTCTGTCTTAAACCAGGCGGGATTATTCTGGGTCAACCAGTTTAAGAATAAGGAGGGCGGCCCCAGTCCTGCGTCCTGGGGTTTCTGTGGGTTGTGGGAATGAGTTCAGCCAGGGCCAAATGGACGACCATCCCCGAGGCTAGGGTAGGAACGTGTCTAGGTCCGCACATCGCTGGGTGGTTTTGGCTGGGGAGCTTTTTCAGCCCTGCATCTCTGAATGGTTGTGGGAATACAGGGCTGATCGTGGATGCCAAGGTTTTATTTTTTGTTTTTCTGTTTTTTGGGTGGGCTGGATATGTCCCAAGTGGTGACGGGGGTGGGGTGAGGGGTAGGCCATTTCAGGCCTTGTTGCTTGATGGGCCTTGGTTTATTAGGGGTTCCAGGGGTGGTCAAAATATCCTTAGAGGGTCTGGGCGAGTGTCTTGGGTCAGGAGTCCCTGGGGTTTTTAGGGAGGTTTTTTGAATGGGGGCAGGTCTTTTCTCTGGGACCTGATGTCCCAAGGTGTGTCATGTGGTAGGTGCCCCTGTGCTTTTCAGCAAAGATCCTCGGTTTGGTTTTAATCTGGGTGGCCTGTCTGGCTGACTTCTTCTTTACTTGTCTGCTTTTGCCTCACATGTTAGGGCCAAATTTCTGGTTTGTGCTGTGAAGGGTTAGGTAGGATGGGGAACTCTGGGGGCTTTTGATTGACAACCCAAATCACTTCTGGCATATGGTGAGTTCCAGGTATCTGGCGTTTAATTTTATTTTTAATTTTTTGGTAGGGACACATTTTAAGTCTACCCAGTAGAGACATAAAGTGAACTGCCATGGACCTGTTCACCATATTCAACCTTTGTTAACTCATGGCCAATTTTGTTTCGTATACATCCCCTCAACCCTATGTGTGGATACTTTAGGAATTGTCAGACTCCAGAGAGATTGGTCACTGCCGACATTATTACTGGCCCAACTGGCTAAGGGTGTGGTGCTCCGCAGCTAGACTTCAAATTGAGGCACTTTCTAGCATTGTCATTTTGAGGAAGGTATATAACTCATGGAGTTTTGGGGAGGTAAAACTTGTATGGTGCCTGGAATTGCCTCTGGTATACAGTAAGAGTTTAGTAAGTGTTAACTATTACTAATAATATTACAGCTTGAGGCCCATAGGCCTTAAAGGGATAAATATGTAATAACAGCTTGTCAGGACAGACTGTATTCTGATGTGCCCATGTGGCTCTGTCCCCTAGAAGCTGTTTACATTCTTCTCTTCTCTGACAGATATGAGGCTTTCTTGTTAAAGGGAGAGGAGCCCTGCTCATTTTAAACTTGGAGATTTCTAGCCTCCATATCTGGGTGCTTGGAGATGATCCTGAAGCTCACACTGCCTGTTTCACTCTCAGGTCCACCTTCTCCAATCCCTGTCTGCCAGGAGAAGACTATCTCTTGAGAAAGGAAGGAGTTCTGTGCCCCTGAGAACCTACTGTCTGGTAGGTACCACTTACCTTTCATATTCCCATAGTGTCTTTTCTGCTCAAAACCATGTCTGAATTTCCTTTGCCCATCTGATGTCTTGTACTTTGAAGTCTAGCAATTGAGGCTTAAGGCCTTGCTTGTATTTCCACAATACTGGGAGGATTTTAAGGGCAAGGATCTCCAAGGGGAATTATCACCCCAGACTGGTACTTTCATTCAGGTGACCACCATCAATTGCCCCAGCCATATTTCATCTTAGCTGCTGGATTCCCAGGGCTCTCTCAGCTACTGTGAAATAAAAAATGGTGGTGATCACCATTTATTGGGCCATTGTTCTGTGCCAGGCAACTGGGTTTATATCTCCACAATATTTTAAACGCTCAACAATTTGAAAGTTAGGAATCAAAACTCTGAATTGATAGAAGTGGCAGGTCACAGAGTTTAAAAAACTTACCTGGGCAATATGGCTGGGTTGGGTAGAATTAGGATTTAGAGGTCCTTCAATTATCAACGTTCTATAATCCCTGTTTCATTGAGCCCCCCTCCACCTGCCTCATTTTCTTGTTTTTGCTACTGGAGTATTTGGAAGGAAATCCCAAACATCACATAATTTTACCTATAAATTTACTATCTCATGCATTTCCAACAGAGAAGGACTATTTGTTAAATATGTAACCATAATATTATCACATTCAACAAAATTGACAGTAATTCCTTAATATCTTAATTCCTAGAGTGTTTGAAAATCTGCCCATTTCTTCTAAAAAAAACCATTGCTTAGTTTGTCCTTTTTGCCCACTTGTTCTTTCTGAAATTTTCGCCCTTCTAATTAGCGACGGAGTCCTCTCCATTCTACCTTGGCATATCCCTTTATTCCTTTCCCCACATCTCACTGCTGTGCTACCCAGATTTTTTTCTCTTCTCCACATTCTAGTTCACCCTCCACCCTGCCTTTTGAGTTGCTTCTCTGAAGGAAAAATAAGGATCATGCCACTCATCTACTCAAGAGGGCCATTTCTTATTGCCTACCTTCAACTCTGTCCAAACTCAATAATTAGAGTATGAGGCCATGAGTGGTGGCTCACACCTGTAATTTCAACACTTTGGGAGGCTGAAGGGGTGGACTGCTTGAACACAGCCTGGGCAACATGGCGAAACCCTGTCTCTACTTAAAATAGAAAAATTAGCTGGGCATGGTGGTGCACACCTGTGGTCCCAGCTACTAAGGAGGCTGAGATGGGAGGATGGCTTTGGCCTGGAAGGTGGAAGTTCCAGTGAGTCGAGATCGCATCACTGTACTCCAGCCTGGGTGTGAGCTCTGGAGACAGACTGCCTGGGTTCAAAGCCCGTCTTTACCACACATTGGCTGTGCAACCTTGGAAACATTATTTCACTCTCTGTGCCTTTTACTCCTCATCTGTAAAATGGTGAAAATAATAGTGCCCATCTCATGGAGTTGTGTGGAAGAAACGTGGTAATTTTTATACGGTCTGGCAGATAATTCCTATAAGGTAGTGCCTGGCACATAGTATATGCTTACTAAATATGGACTGTGATTGTTAGTATTGAGATCTGATTAATATCTGAATTATCTCTCAACTCACCTTTTCAGTCTTGTCCCTACAACTTACTCCCTTTGTTGTGCCCTTGTAGTCGTGTGGGAATAGATTCCATTCTGTGCTGTTTTATTCCTCTGTGGTTTTTTTGCTTGGCAATCAAACTCCTATTGATTTAGTCACACATTTATTCCATTGCAAAGCATGCCTGGATTTTTTTCAGGCAAAGTTGTCTGCAGCCTCTTCTTTAGCACCAAAGCACTTTGTTTTTGTTTTGTTTGTTTGTTCGTTTGTTTGTTTTAAGATGGAATTTTGCTCTTATTGCCCAGGCTGAAGTGCAATGGCGTGATCTTGGCTGCAACCTCCACCTCCTGGGTTCAAGTGATTCTCCTGCCTCAGCCTCCTGAGTAGCTGGGATTACAGGCATGTGCCACCATGCCCTGCTAATTTTGTATTTTTATTAGAGACGGGGTTTCACCATGCTGGTCAGGCTTGTCTCAACTCCCAACCTCAGGTGATCCACCCGCCTTGGCCTCCCAGTGTGCTGGGATTACAGGCGTTAGTCACCAAACCTGGCCTAAAGCAAGCCACTTTATATATGAGTACTTTGTTGAACTGGACCATGAAATGGCTCTTTAAGGATCAGGGACCTCTTGCTTATTTTGTGTCACTGACATGGTGCCTAATAACTAGCAGGACTAAATAAGTCTTTGTGAGCATTGAGCAGCCCTGTTTCCTGGCTGTGGAGGAGCCATATGGGCCAGGATGGGGTTGGGGGGGTGGCTCAGATTGAGAAGTGGGTTGGGCCATTATTAAGAAAGGCCAGGATACCAAGTTGGTGAGTTGGACTTCATTCTGTGGCCATTAGGGAACCACTTGAAGGTTTTGAGCTACTTTTGAGTGTGATCTCTCCCTTTAGCTATTACCCCATTTCTCTGCTTTCCTTTATAGCAAACCTCCCCAAAAGAATGGTCTATACTTGTTACCTCCAGTTCCTATTTTTCCATTCTGTTTTAAATCCTTTTGTAGCCCACGCTCCAGAAACTGTTCTTGTCAAGGTCACCAGCAGCCTCCACTGTGCTACACCCAGGAGTGAATTTCCAGTCTTTATTTTACTCTGTCTTCTTGGCAGCAGTTCCTGTGGTCAATCTCTTCCTCCTCCTTGACACACCTTGTCCTTGGGCTACAGAACTGTATGCACCTCTCCTTTTCTTTCTCCCTCACAGGCTACTTCTCCGTCTGCCTTGCCAGTTCTTTTTTTTCCTGGCCTCCTAACTGTAGAGTCCTCTAGAGCTTAGTCCTTGACGATTCTTTCATCTTCCTCCTCTGCCTTGCTGATCTCCTCCACTCTGCGGACTTTCAATCCATCTGTATGACTCTAGCATTGACCTCTTCCTTCCACTTCAGACTTGGATGACTAATTGCCTACTTGTAATCTCCACTTGAACCTGTATTAAGCATCTCAAATCTAGTCTCAAACATCAAACTTTGTTCTGCTCCCCCAGATTTGCTCCAGTTATGGCTTTCCTCACCCCCGTTGATGGTAAGTCTTATCCTTCCATCTGCTCCAGGCAAAAGTCTTAGAATTGTCTTTGATTTTTCTTTTCATCTCACAACTCACCTACAATAAGGAAATTCGGGATGTGATTGCTACCCACCATCTCCACTGTGTCCACTTTTGTCCAAAACACTTTTATCTCCCACCTGGATTATTTCAACAGCCTTTATGGGATTTCCTTCCCCTCTCCTTTCCCCTCTCCCCTTTGTTCCTAGTCTACCAGCCAGAGACATCTTTTAAAATGTAAATTCAAGCATGTTATTCCTCTGCTCAAAATCCTCCAATGGCTTCTCATTTCACTCCGAATCAAAACCAGCATGCCCAAGGCTGCACATGGCCTGTGCCCTGGTGTTGCTCTTCTTGACTACTCTTAGCTGCCACTGCTGTGTCTCACACCCTCCTGCCACAGTGAACTTGTTATTTCTGGAACAGCAGGACTCACTCCTGCCTTAGGACCTTCAATGGGCTGGTTTCTTTTCTTATAGCTCTGTTGGCACAGTTGCCCACATGAATCACTCCCTCATATCATTCAAGTCTCAAGTAATCACCTTTAAAAGGCTTTCCCTAAATACTTGATTTAAAATTGCAACTCCTTCAGTCTTTCCCACTGGATCTTTCTGTTGCCCTCAGTAGTTGTCACCACCTGACGTCTTGTGTCTTTTCTGAGGTGTATTTTATTTTTGTTCATCTCCTTGCTCCCACCCCACTAAATGGCACATGAGGGCTGGCATTTTCATGTTGCATTTGCAGCAGTACCCCAAACGTCGGAACGGTCCTTGGCAGACAGTAGGCGCCGGATCATTTATGGAACGATTGAATAGTTCAGTCAACAGCACGTAGAGTCAACTGTGGGAGGCATGGATAAGGAGTACTGGGGTGTGGGGGAGATCTGTGGAGACCCCGGTCAGGAGGCTGTCACTGTTGTCTAAGCTTCTCAGCTGGTGTGGGGTGATGGGAGGCAGCTCTGATGTGGACAGAATCTACAGGCTTTTGTCATTGGTTAGATGTGGCAAGGAGTCAGTGATGACACAGAGATCAAGTGTGGTGACAGAACTGGGGGTCTTACAAGTGGAGGAGATGAGGCAAGAAGGAATAGCAGGTCAGGAAGAGAAGGAAGGGAGACTAGGCATTTATGTGACAGCTTGTGGACTGCCCTGCTCACAGAGCTGCACACCTTGGCTGGGCTCTCCAGGACAGGCTGGGCTCTCCATGACAGGCTGGGCTCTCCATGACAGGGACTCTGTCTGATGTCGGCAAAGCTCATCCCAGTGCCCAGCTTGTAGCAGATGTTCAGTAAGTGTTTGCTGAAGTGAGGTGTCCAGCAGGCAGGTGGAAACATACTCTGGGAGCTGTGTGAGGTGTTTTCGGATTCCTAGAATAAACAAACAACAACAAAATGATTACTATAGACAGTCGTTGTAGCTTAGCTGACTTTCCACTTTTAGGGTTGTAGCATTCTCCAGCATTCTGAAGCCATTCCAAAGGTCCAGTATAAATAGTGCTAAAACTGTGGGTTTCTAGTGTCCATTAGTTTTGACTCATAAGAAACAAACTTATGTTCATTCATGATACTTCTGACAGACAGGAGGTGCACTGCTGATTTCATCAACACATCTTTTGGAGCATGTCATTGCTGCCAGATAACTTCCATTCTAAGTTAAAAACAGACAAGAACAAAATTAGATAATTAATGCCTTTTTAGTGGTTAACTTTGCATAATGGAAAATTTCCAAATACGCACTGTGAATTCATCATCCAACTTCAAGAATAATCAATTCATGTTCAAGGTTGTTTCACCACCCCACTCCACCCCTTTATTTTGCAGGATTATTTTAAAGCTAATATTAGACACCATGTCATTTGATTTATAAATATGTTACTTTATTATGTATCCCTGAGA